TAGGGGGGGGGGGTGCGAAGAAAGGCTTTGATCAAGATCGGCTAGCGGGAAGAGCGGCATGGATGAGAGGAAGAGGGAGGAAGAGAGAGGGGGAGACCATAAGAAACATCAGCCTCAACCCCCTTCCTTCTCGCTCGCTCGCTCTCTCTCATCACGTCGTCCCACAGACACGGTCACAGTCACAGCTGTGGTAATGTAGGACGCGGGTGGTCGACAAGGAGAGCAGGGACAACGGCAACGAGGACTAGAGCGCAGGCAGATCGGCCGGGATGACGAGATGGAGCGGATGACGGACGTTCATGTGGCCAAAGAGATCGGAGAGCTTTGTGGGCAGGAGGCCGAGCGACTTGAGCTTCCACAGGCCGAGAGCGAGGGCGACGCACTGGAGGAGGAGGTAGGCAATCTTCTGCAGGAGGAACGACGGCTCCTTGCCGGTAGTCAGCTTGGCGGCCTTGGCGAGGCCCTTGAACACGTTCGAGACGTTCATCATGGCGGAGACGGGCGCCGAGAGAGCCATGTACGTCATCATCATGGAGAAGATGCCAACCGACGAGCCAGACATCCACAGCATAAAGCCCGTCATGAAGAACCCCTTGACCGGAGACATGGCCAGCTCCCAGGCCTTCTTCTCGTGGGCAGACGCTCGCGGCGCCGCCGCAGAGCTCTCCAGAGCCGCCGCCACCGCAGGCGAGAGCACCGCAGAGAGGCCCGGCGGCGGGCGCAGGGCCCCTGAAGACGGGTGCCGTGGTGTGCTGGGAATACGTCCTGGGCTGAACGGCATGGGTGGGTGGGCGGGGGTGGGGGGGGGGGGGGGGGGGGAGGGGGGGAGGGTGAGGTGGTGTGGTGGTAGGGGGCTAGAGGGTGAGGTGAGGATCTTGCGCGAGTTTGGTTGTTGGCCACACACCGCCAACCACGTTAAGAGCGGCGTGGGACGGTGACGGGCGGGTGACCGGGTGAAAGGTGATCAGGCGGACGGTGATTGGGTACAAGGTGGTCGGAGAGGGATTCGTGCGGGAGATCGTTCACTTGGACGAGGGCTTGTCCTGGAGCATCTGCCAGTAGCCAGAAAAGTCGAGGTCCGACATGCCGTTGGTGCACATGAGCCGGTAGAGAGCATGGGCAGAGGAGCCGAGGTTGAGCGGGGCGTTGATGGCGTTGGCGGCCTCGATGGCGAGCGAGAGGTCCTTGGCCATGAGCGGGGCGGCAAATCCGCCAGTGAAGCCGCGCGCGGCCGGGACACCATCCATGGCCCCCGGGCACGGGTTGTACGTGTCCGACGACCAGCAGCGGGCCGACGAGGTGTTGAAAATACCGGCAAGGACCTTGGGGTCCATGCCCGACTTGACGCCAAGGTTCATGGCCTCGTTGACCGCGATCATGGAAATGCCGAGAACGAGGTTGTTGGCAACCTTGGCGACCTGGCCGGTCGAGTGCGAGCCGCAGTGGACAATGTTCTGGCCCATCCGGCCAAGCACCGCCCGCGCCTGCTCAAACTCGGCCTTCTCGGCCCCAACCATAAACGTCAGCGTCGCGTTCTCGGCCCCGATGGTGCCACCCGAGACCGGCGCGTCGATGAGGACGTGGCCCTTGGACTTGGCCGACTCGGCCACGGCGGCAGCCACAGGCGGCGAGATCGTCGACGCATCAATGCAGAACTTCGACGCGTCGCCCGCCCCGGCAAACACGCCGTCGGGCCCGTTGTACACCGACTCGACGTGCGGCGACGACGGCAGCATGGTCACAATGACCTCGGCCTTGGACGCGCCGACGTCGGCCGGCGAGCCCGCCACCACCACGTTGCTCGGCGCCTCCGCTGCCAGCCGCGTGGCAGCCTCAGGGAACACATCGTACACCACCAGCGGGTGGCCAGCCTTGGACAGGTTCGTCGCCATATGGGCACCCATGTTGCCGAGGCCGATGAAGCCCACGGTCTATCCCCAGCCACCCGTCCGCCACCCCAACAAGACCGACACAGACCCATCCGTGAGTACCAACCCCCCATCCATACGCCCGTCCACACCGCCACCAACCGACCATATCATCCATGAGTCATCCCCATCCCCATCCCCTCTTCCCCCCCTCCCCCCCCCCCCGGCCCGCCCCTTTCCCCTCCTCCCTCCACACGTACCACCTCTGAGGAAAAGGCAGCTGCGCTAGCGGCAGTCCTTACGGCAGCAGCAGCTGCGGCAACAGGAGTGGCAAGAGAACGGAGCATGATAGTGAAAGTAAAGGAGGAAGCAAGTATGAGAGATATCCCCTCGTTCGTCTGCCCTTGCAAAGGGCTTGGCTACCCGGTCTGCCAGAGGCTTCACCTCGCGACTCGTGCTTCAGCCTCTCAGCTGGTCTGGCTGGCCATCATTCATTCATTCGTTCGTTCGTTCGTTCGTTCGTTCGTTCGTTCGGTCACAAACACAACGCCCGCCTTTCTTCTTGCCCGAGCGAAACTCACTTTCCTCGCGCTCTCTCTCTCTCTCCTCGCTTTCTCTCTCTCTCTCTTTCTCTCGCCCTCACTTCTTCTCTTTCGACATCACCCCCTCCCCTTCAATCAAGACTACATACTGGCCCACACTCCTTTGATCCTGATCACATGCCTGAATCACAGATATCGTACTTGATTCCGGCCCCAACAGACAGCCTGCTCGAGGGACGATCGCTGAAATTTGTCACGGTTTCGACGTCCTCACGCAGATGCACATCTTCACCATCCCATTGCAGGGCTTCGTCACACACGCACACACACAAGCATGGCCGGATTTACTCATCACTCGAATCCTCTTTCTCGTCTTCCTCCTCATCGCTCGAATACTCTCCCTCCTCATCGCTCGAGCTTGAGGACGGCCTTGACTCCACGTCCCACGCCGAGGTATCGCCGAGCCGTTCGAAGAGCTCCGGGATCGAGTTGGACGCGGCGAAGATCCGAATCACCGCGTTGCAGACCGAGACGGGCACATCGTATGTGCCGTGCACGCGACAGGCCGTGGCCGTGCATGAGCAAATGGTGTCCATTTTGTCTATCCATCGGAAGACACGGGTGTGGAAGCTCGGGTGGTCGGTGGCCGGCACATTGGTCTTGACAAAGTCAAACATCGCCGATCCGACGCCCTGGTTGAGGAAATCCAGGATATTGCGCGAGTCATGCAGGTCGTCTTGATGCCGTGCAAGAGAAGGGCAAAAGTCGGCTGCCTTCTTCAGAAACGCAATCCGCTGGGCCTGCGACGCCGTTGGCTTCATCCACTCGAACGCCAGGCGCAGCACGCTGAGGCCACCTGTCCATCCACCGCAGCGTTCCCAGATCTCATCCTCACGCGGCTTCCAGAACTCCCAGTCGAGCCGGCGAAGGAGCTTTAGCTCCTCCAGAGTCGCTTCGTCGCCGTTCACCACATAGTCGGTGACAAGGTGGTGGCTGGAGTTGTCCAGCTGTACGTCCTTGGCCACAATCCTCCGCGATCTGAGCTCGTCCAGCCGGGTGCTGAACGGGACCAGGGCGCTGACCACCGCCGCCATCGCGCCCGCTATCGCATCGGACTCTGCATGCGCCCCATGGTCGAGTGTGCGCGGGGTGACGGTCCCGTCAGCAGCCGCAGGCATGAGAAACATGGCGGCAACATTGTGACGCCACGATGGAATGCCACTCTTGGCCATTGCCGCCTTGAGCGCCGCCATCTCAACGGGGACAATCTTGTCAGTGACGAACCAGAAACGGTAGACAGCGGCGTCCAGCTCTCGCTCAGCCGCGATCACGCTCGGCCAGCGCGAAGCTTCGGCCACAATCGACTCGAGCTCCTCGCTCGTAGTCGCTTTCGTCACTCGCGCGTCGAGCCATGCCGTCGTCACCTTGTTGATGCTGGTGGCCGAGAGCACGCCGATCAGCCGCGGCGTGAGCGGCGGTGCCAGCACCTCCCCGTTGCGCACCGCTGTGCGCGCTGCGGCCAGCGCCGGAATCGGAATCCACTCGTCGACATCCGCAGTCGGTGCAAACATGGTTTCTTGCCGGCTAAAGTTGCGCACAAGATCCGCAGGAGTGGTGGACTCGCCACCGTTGTCCAGGTACTCGATCACCAGGCTTCTGACTTTGCCACTCGACGTCGCGTGAGGGAAGCGAGTTTCCACCGCAGCCATCACATCGCTGCGCAGAATCCAGCTTCCGCGCCGGACAAGAGAGCTGCCCGGGGCCAAAGCAGCCATAAGCTCACGTCCGCGATGCGCGCGCTCGCCGCCGCGCACCATCGCGCGCTGCACCACCGCAATCACCTCGGCCTCAACGCACGCAAGCGGGCTCGCCAACATGCCGGCAGAGACCGCGTCTTTGGCATCTGCCACAATCTCGTCCGACGACATCCACAGGAGGCCCAGCTCCTCGCTCGAGCCGGGAAACTCCGACACAAGCTTGCACGCAGTCTTGACCGCAATCCGGACCCACCCGCGTTCCCACGCGCAGTTGAAGAAGTCCTGTCGATCCGTGCTCTCCTCTGCCGACGTCGCCATCATGTACAGCCACGTCGTGCTCATCGCTCCACGATCAGGCAACCTCGTGTCGCTGGCCATCAGCTTACACGCGTAGATGTTCTTCTGGAGCATCTTGCTCAGCAGACGGCGATCGTGGGCAATCCGCCACAGCCTCTTGCAGCTTGCTGCCAGCGCCGCAAACGCCTGTGGATCCAGGGAGCCAAGGATGTAGACCAGGAGCTCGTCAGGCAAAGCAAGCATTCCGTACTGGCTTTGAGCTTGGTGGCCGCTCGCTGCCGCGCTCTCACTTCCGCGCTCAGCATGATTCCACTCCGGAACAAGAAAGTACCTCTTGCACGCTGGCTGGCAAAAGTACACCATGTCGTAGGCACGGCAGAAGCCGTCTGCCCAGTTCTCGCTCCTTGTCACCTCCTTCGGCATCCGGCGGCCACAATTGTTACACATCTTCAGGTCCAACTTGAGCTCGACTTGAGTCGTGACATCGTCAGGCACCTCATCGCTCACAATGGCGTACGATTCAGCCATCACCACGTTTGCCGCCGGCAGGCCGACGGCATACCCTGCTCCGGGATTCTCCGCACAGCGGGTAAAGAACCACGAAGGCATCGCATTACTCATGGCTCTTCTCCTACCGTCAGGCTACGCAATTGGTCTTTCTCCTTCTTGAGCTTCGAGATGAGTGATGCCCCGCGCCTTGCCCACCACGGCAACCTGGACAGGCTCGGTTTTATGGAGGTGTGTGCCCTTTCCAAAAAATGACAAGGAAACTGCAACTGCAACACCAAATTGTGCAGCACAAAGTGCAACTGACCTCGTTAGCCACGTATGAAACAGCCCACCACTGCCCCCCTTAGCGACTACATATTGTTTCAACATACAATCTCCCCACTACCGCAACCACCTTACCGTCCGCCACCACAACTTCACCCACATGTACTGATCGCATTGCGTCCTTGCCCTCCAGCCCTATCCCCTCCCCCGCTGGCTTGAAGCAGCCCACCACATCCCCCTAGCCACTACATATATGTAGTCGAAAGGGGGATGTAGGGGGATGTGGTGGGCTGTTTCATAGCTTGACCCCCCCCCCCTCCCCTTTCCCACCCAACCTCCCTCCTTCCCCCCCATCCTCGCCCCCCCCCCCCCCCCAAAGAAAAAGAATTGTCTCCGCGCGCCTCCGCTCACTGCTTGCTGACGCAGCCAAAGTGGCGGGGGGAGGGGAGGGGGCAGCACCCGCACGCTCACGCCCAGCCCCACACTCCGCACATCCCACTCCTCGACCTGTAACATGGAAACCGTGGCTTCGACCCTCAGCTCGACCCTCAGCTCTTCCTGGGAGGCACTCCACGCCCACCCGGTTGCAGGCGTGGCGTGTACCTGGCTCGCCTGGGCCCTCGCCCAGCCTGTGGTGGTGGGCCTGCAACGCGTGCTGCTCGCTCTGTTTTTCTTCCGCCTCCTCCGCCAGCTTGTGCGACTCGCAACTAATGCCGATGCCCGGTCTGCGGCACTTGGTGCAGTGCTGCGGTCGGTCCGCGGCATGCCGGGCCTTGCTGGCGTCGTTGCAGCCGAGCAGGCCAAGACACTCAAGGAGATCGAGGCTGTGGTTCTCGGCGAGACCTCGGACGCCATGCAGGCGCTTCCGGTCTACACCTCGCTGCCTCCGAGCGGGCTGCCGCTGGCCGAGATCGAGAGTACCATGGCTGTGCTCACCAGTGAGCAGAAGATGTACGAGGGCAAGAAGGCGTTTGGCGGCATCTACCACGAGGCCGGCGGCAAGGTCTCCAAAGCCACCATGGCCGCCTATCAGGCCTTTACCTACTCGAACGCGCTGTACCCGATGCTCTTCCCCGGCCTCCGCAAGTTTGAGGCCGAGGTTGTTGCCATGTCGGCTTCGATGATGTGCGGCGGGCCCGAGGCGTGCGGGACCATGACTTCGGGCGGAACCGAGTCACTCATCATGGCCATCAAGACGTACCGCGACATGGCGCTCGCCACCCGCGGCATCACTGCGCCCGAGCTGGTTATTCCGCTCTCAGCCCACCCGGCTCTCAACAAGGGCGCGCACCTGCTCGGCGTCAAACTGGTCGTTGTCCCGCTCGGCCCCGACTTTCGCGCTGACGTCTCGGCCTTTGCCGCTGCTCTCTCGTCGAACACCATCATGGCAGTCGCCTCGGCGCCGGGCTACCCGCACGGTGTCATCGATCCTGTCGAGGAGATGGCGGCCATTGCTGCCGACCGCGGCATCCCGCTGCATGTCGACACATGCCTCGGCGGCTACCTGCTGCCGTTCCTCAAGGCCGAGGGCCGCCTCGGCCCCAACTTTGACTTTTCCGTCCCCGGCGTCACCTCCATGTCTGCCGACCTGCACAAGTACGGTTGTGCCCACAAGGGCGCCTCGGTCATCCTCTATGCCTCGCCGGAGATTCGCAAGCACCAGTACTTCCAGGCCACGACGTGGCCCGGCGGCCTCTACTGCTCGCCGTCGTTTGCCGGCTCGCGCCCTGGCGGCACCATCGCCGCCGCCTGGGCCGCCATGGTGGCCCAGGGCTGGGACGGCTACGTCGCCGCCGCCAACGAGATTCACGACGCTTTTGAGGCCCTCGTCGACGGCATCAACGCCATCGACGGTCTTCGTGTCCTCGGCGAGCCTGACGCCGCCGTCATCGCCTTTGACTCTGATGATCCAGCCGTCAACATCCTGCAGGTTGCTGACGAGATGACTGCTCGCAAATGGGATCTCACCCGCCTCATCAAGCCGACTTGCGTCCACTGGATGATTGGCGGTCGGCAGACCGACCTCGTTGAGCCCATGCTTGCTGACCTCCGTGAATCTGTCGCCGAAGCCCGCGCTCATCCCGAGCGTGCCTCTGAGGGCATGGCCGGCATCTACGGCATGGCCGGCACCATTCCGGACCGCACTGTCGTCGATGAGCTCCTCACCGGCTTTATGGACATCATCCTCAAGCCGTAGTCGCCTCCACACACCTCTTCGCCCGCCATCCCATCACAACGCGATGCCATCAGTAAAGTCGCTCAGTGCCCCGCCGCCCGATCCACCCCATCCGTTCCCTATCCCCTCGCTGTTGGCCTCGGTCGGTCTTGGCCCCGGTCGGCCTCGGTCGGCCTCAGCTTGCCTGCGTGTCACCACGCCACACCGCCTCACCTGCTCACCTTCACCCTCACCACCATCACTACCCCTCTCCCGCCCACCCACTCCACCATCCCCACATCCATCCCCACTTTCATCCCACCACACCTTCCACACCCTCAACCATGTCCTCGTCTTCATCCTCATCCTCATCCTCATCCTCCTCCCACAGTGGCTCCTCCTCACCCTCCTCACCCTCCTCCTCCTCCTCCTCATACTCGCTGTCACTGCCGTCCTCCGTCTCCATCCCCTCCACATCCACACCCTCATTCTCAATGTACGCACACATACACACACACTCTCTCTCTCTCCCCTCCCCTCCCTCCCCTCCCCTCCTCTCCTTCCACTCATACTCACCCCCCCCCCCCCCCACCCCCCACCCACCCCCCTCCCTCCAGGTCGCCGCCGTCGGACCCGCTCCCGCAACCGGCATCATGGGGCGCAGATTACCCGCCGGGTATCGCACCACGCTCAGAGGCTAGAAGGTTTGCGGCAGCTCGTGCAGCGCTCAAGGTTCAAAAGGCGGCTGTGGCAGAGTTTGAGCGTCGGCATGGTCCCATCCCGCGCAAGGTCAAGGTCATCTCGCCGCCATCGGCGTCCACCTTTATGCGCAAGTACGTCGCCCACAATAGGCCCGTCATCATCCGCGGCGCCGCAGAGCACTGGCCGGCTCGCGCAAAGTGGGATCTTGACTACCTTGACGACGCCATCGGCAAGCGCAAGATCAACGTCAACGTCATGCCGTACTCGGCTGGCTCAGGCACCATCGTTGGTGGCCATCACGTCGATCCCAAGCTCGTCACTATGCGCGTCACAGACCTCATCTCCCTTCTCCACTCTGAGGCCGACTCTGCCAAGTCCAAGTCCAAGTCCAAGGCCAAGGCCCAGAAGAAGAGCAAGAGGAAGACTGCCAAGGCGTCCAAGATCAAGGCCCAGAAGAACAGGAAGAAGTCCGCAAAGGCGTCCAAGACCAACGGCCACGCAAACTCTGCCCTTCCAGACAAGTACTACGTCTCGTCCAATGAGAACAACTTTACCAAGCAATTCCCAGAGCTCAAGGGCGACGTCGACATGCGCGGCTTTGGCTTCTTCCCCGCCGCCATCGACTCGGTCAATCTGTGGATGGGCGGCGAGGGCTGCTTTTCGCCACTCCACAACGACTACATGGACAACCTGTATCTAGTTGTCCGCGGCCAAAAGTCGTTCCGCCTCTACTCGCCGCTCTCCTCCATCTTTCTCTACGAAGCTCGATTCCGCAAGGCCTTCTTCGACAAGTCGCCCGACGGCGAGTGGTTCATCGACGAGGTCGCGCCCATCAAGCACCAGAACTGGATCGCTGTCGACCCACTCTCGCCGGACTATGCCCGCCACCCCCTCTTCAAGTACGCCGCACCCATTGACGTCACTCTGGAGGAGGGCGACATGCTCTTCCTCCCTACACACTGGTACCATCAGGTCTCTCAGTCTGTCGATGCCGAGGGCAAGTGCATCGCCCTCAACTACTGGTTCAAGCATGACGTGCCCTACGACTACGTCGATCTATTCAACGCCACAGAGTCCGCCGCACAGGCCATCCTTGGCGAGCGCTTCCTCTACGACGGCCCCTCATCGTCGTCGTCGGACACAGCCGCGGCGTCGTCGTCCACCGACTCGGCAACAGACTCGCTCGACTCGGAGACAACCTTTGATCCACTGCACGACATCTGACCACTCCGCAGGCACCCTGCCGCTCCGTCCGACGACGAAGTAAACGTCGGTGCGAGCGTCGCCCTCCCCCCCCCCCCCCGGACAGCTTCGCCAACAGATCGCCAGACATGCGAGAAATTGGATTGAAGCTTGGGTGTATGACATTGATAATGGTAGCATGAGACTAAGAAATCCAAGCCACGACTGATGGGACTGAGAATAGAGTTAGGCGGCGTCCGAATCCTCCTCGATGAGGAAGCGGAGGAAGAGACCGACGAAGAACGCAGCCGAGGCCGAGACACCACCGTTGAGAACCATGATGAGGCCGCCCTTGATGATGGAGCCAATCTTGCCGTGCATGGAGATGTGCTGCTTGAATGCACCGAGGATGAAGAGGGTGACGGCGGTCATGGCACACGAGACAGCAAAGTTGGCGTCGACGCCGCCCTTGCCGCCGACGCCGGCAAGGCGCGAGACAATGTATGCGACGAGCGGGACGGCACCAAAGATGAGGAACGAGAAGAACATGACAAGGCCTTGCTTGGCCGGCGACTCGTTCTCGTCGTCTGGGTTGAGGCCGAGCTCCTCGACCATCATGATGTCGACAAAGAGCTTGGGATCCTTGGAGATGATGTCGACCACAGTGACGGCGTCGTCTTCGGTCATGCCTTTGGCTGTGTACAGTTCAACCATCTCCTGCTTTTCATGCTCGATGGCGTGGTCGACCTCCCACTCCTCGCGCTTGCGCTCCGACCGCATGAACTCCAGCTCGGCCTTGCCCGACACAAACTCACCGACGCCCATCGAGAGGCCATCGGCGATGAGGTTGGCGAGGCCAAGAACGAGGACAATGCCGGTCGAGAGGTTGGCGCCAGCCACGCCTGCCACAACAGCAAACGTGGTCACGATGCCATCCAGCCCACCAAAGACCAGCGCCTTGACGTACGATCCGGCCTCGGCGTGATTCTCAACATGCGCTGCGTGCGCCGCCCGCATGGCCTCCACGTCGCCACTTGCATGCGCTGCCCGTGCCTTGCGGTACTTTTCCGCCGTAGAGATACCCGCATTCCCATCCGCACCACCTGTACCGGCCATTGCCGTCTTGCTCCCTCCCGTGGTGGTCTTGCTCGTCTTGCTCGCCTTGTTCACCCGTCCCTCCTCCCGGGATGGTTTCGCCGCATCGCGACTCCGCCGCCCGGCCCGTGGCGAAGGCGACTTGGCTCCCTCGTCGTCCGAGTAGTAGTACGATGAGTAGTACGAAGACACTGAGTGCATCACGGTAGAGATGAGTGTGAGAGACAGGTGCCTCGGTTACGAGCAACGGTACGTGCAAGTTGGGGGTGGGGGAGTTTGAGGGGAGATGGGCTCGGCGTGACAGGCTGGCGTTACACGCGATGCTGGAACTACCTGCTAATTGCTCTGGTGATTGAATTCATCAAGGGCTGGCATCACAGTGACCATTCGGGCGGTGAGGGCACAAACGGCTGGAAGCGGCGGAGCATACGCGAAGCCGAGGGCGAGGGCGACAACGCCGAGATGTCGGCGAATGGGAGGGCAGGGACGTGCGCGTAGTTGTCGAGGCTGATTGCCGGAATGACGTCGTCGTCGACGTCGACGACGTCGTCGTCAATGTTGACCGCGGCCGAGTTGAGAACGTGGAGCGGCGAGCCGACCGGGTATGACGGTGCCGTGTCCATCGGCGACATGGGCGACATCGAGTGCGAGTCGAGGCGGTCGAGTGGGACGGCCGAGGCCGGCGACGCCATGGTCAGGCCGGCCAACTGGTGGGCCTGGAAACCGGATAGAAAGTCGCACTCGGGGCAGTGCCAGACGGCGGCGTCGATCGGCGGCGCGCGCGAGCCGACGCAGTCGGCGTGGTACACCCGCGGGCACGAGTCGCAGCAGATGAGGTCACCAATGTCGGAGCAGACTGCGCAGGCATCTGCGTGGAGCCGCGATGTGCGAATGTGCTCGACATGCGGATTGAGCCGGAAGAGGCCATTGCGCGAGTCGTGAACAAACCGCGCGTTGCGACCCGACGCGGAAATCTCCTTCAGCAGCGCAAGCGTGAGCTGCTTGATAGCCTCGTGCTCCGCCGACGGCGAGCCCGAGGTCTCGATCTCGACCTCGGAAACCCTGTTGATAATCTCAAGGATGGTACCTGCCTGAAAGGCGAGGCTCGGATACTCGAGCAGCGCCTGATGTGCCAGCTCGGCCCAGTCGCGCCAGTCCAGACGCTCGTGGACGCTCGGCGACGCAGCCGCGTCGCCCGGTGCGGTCTCGGGCGCTGCCACGGCCTTGGGCGTCTCCGCCTTTTCGCCGCTTGCGCCTTCCTCGGCCGCATCTTGCTCGCTGCCAGTAGCGTCCTTTCCCTTGGCCTTGCCCTTGCCTGTGCTCGACTTGCCCTTGCTGCCCTTGCTGCCCTTGCTGCCCTTGCTGCCCTTGCTGCCCTTGCTGCCCTTGCTGCCCTTCCCTTTGGCCACCTCCTTGTGCGTGCTCGCTTTCGACGCCTCATCCACAGTGGCGGTGACGTCGAGGTCGAGTGAGCGGGCGGCGCTGGGTGCGTCCGGCTCCCGACTGCCCTTGCCGCCGGCCGCAGCCTTTGCCTTGCTGTCGGGCGGCGAGAGCGGGTTAACTGCACGCGGCAGCGGAGTGCTTGGCGGCGAGGTGTGCTTTGATGCAACACGCCCGCGCGTTGTTGTCAGCGACGTGTCCAGGCGGAGACGGGTCGGGGTCACAGCCGCGACTTCGGCGGCCTCGCGAGCTGCCGGAGCTGTGGCGGCGGGAGCGGACGCGACCGTCGGAGGCGGTGCGGTGCTGCTAGCGGCTGCCTTGGGTCCGGCGGCTGCCGCAGGTGCCGCCGCACCGCCCTTGCGCGCCGTCACAACCTTGGGCACATACCGATTGCCCGACTTGCGGCATGGCATGCGCGCCAGCTGGTCCTCAAACAGATTTGACAGCTCCTGGGCCATAAACCCGACGTCCGAGTTGAGCGAGTTGTACCGGATGCAGTTGGAAAAGACCAGCCGGACATCGCGGATAAAACTCGACTCGTGGCTGTAGCCGAGGTTGGAGATCTTGGTCCGAATCGACCCGAGGTCCATCGGCTCGTCGATGACGTCAAAGTAATCGTCAAGGCCGAGCGCCACCGGATCGACCGGCGCCCGGAACGGCGCAGAGAACTTGTGGTTGATGAGCCGGAGGAGGAGCTCAAAGCAGAATCTCAGCTGCGGCGTCTTTTGCGGCTCTTGCATGTTGAACTCCTTCGACTTGACCTTCTTGCGTCGCTTGCGCCGAGTCGAGCCCTCGGCGGCAAGCACTGCACCCTGCTCGGTCCCAGCCAGGTGCTTGTTCGCCTTTCCGCCACCGGGCCGCGGTCCACGCCCCGCATCGCCGTCGCCGGCAGCAGGCTGTGGCTCGGCTCGCTTGCGCTTGCGCTGGTTCTTGTCTGGCGAGCTCGGGTGGCTCTTGGTCACCTCCATGGCTGCTGCCCCGCCGTGTGGAACGGCCTGCGGTCGCTCCATGGTCACAACAACCATACCTGGTCGTTACACTACCCAGGAACAAAGGCAGGGGGGAGGGGGAAATGGGGGGGGGATACGGGTCGGTCGCGGGCGGTGGAGGCACACGCCGACTCAAGGAAGGCCGCCGAACACGGGCTCGGCAACAAAGGCGGCGAGGGGGGGGGCGAGGAGGGGCGTAAGCAAAGGGGTTGGCCTTGTCACAACAACAAGAAAGACAGCGAGATAAAAGTGGAGACCTGCTAACGTTGCGGAGCTCCAAGGACCGCACGCCTGCTGTTGTCTGCCGATAGTAGGCACCGCCAGGCGGGGTGAGGTGGTGGCGTTGTCGGCCCAACGTGGCGGATCATGTCGCACTACCTTGATCTTTTTGGCCGTTTGCAGCCCGCCCCTCCTTTCCTTCAATCTCTGCAATGAAAAAAAAATATGAACTGTCGCCTGCCCTTTGTTTGCGGCTCATCCGTCTCCTTTTACAGCTCTCCTCTGTGGCACACAAGCTACCGATGGTACTCGCAATAGGCATGTATGATGAAATTGAGTGTGTACTACTGGTATCTCTGGTGATATAATTCAGATGATGAAAACGTCACCCAAGAGAGCCGCTGCAAGTACTGGACCGAATTGCAGCTGGGCTTGAGGGAGAAAGTGTTGCTGGCAACGACAAACGTCACAACGAGTGCGGAGCGGCGCCTCTCGCCGCACTGGTCACACTGGCCGCCGTCGACCAGGCCAAGGCCAACAGCAACGGCTATGCTTTGTCTTTAGTCGCCACACTCCACTACGACGTTGTCGAACAGGCTTCTGTTCCCGCAGCCGAGCGTAGTATGGAAGACGCGTCGCAGATAGATGTGGGCAAGCTCGAGGTGCAGGGTATGTTGTGCGGGGTGGGGGGGGAGGGGGGGGGGGGGGGAGGGGGAGGGGGCTGGGGCCTCGACAAGGGTGCGGTGGTTCTGGGCTGACTCACTGGTTGGTTATCTTGGAAACAATGGTGTGTATGGGCTGGATGCGGGGGATGATGGGGATGGTGAACTGCTTGCTGGGGTGGGGACGGGGGGCTGGCGATGTGTGCGTCTGTGTGTGTGCTGCCCGTTGGGACGGATAGTGGTGGAGGCAAGGGATCTGATGCAAGCGGATCGGTGGAGCCAGTCGGATCCATATGTGGTGGTGACGTTTGCGGACAAGTGGGAGTCAACGTACACAGTGTCCGACTCGAACAATCCGGTGTGGAAGAAGCAGGAGCCGTTCTTCTTTGAGGTCCGGTCGCGCAAGGCCAAGATCTTTGTCGACGTGTTTGACAAGAACAAGATGGAGAAGGACGTGTTTCTCGGGCAGGTGGAGATTTCGCTGGAGGAGCTAGAGAACGGATCCAAGCGCGACGCGTGGTGGTCGCTCAAGGATCGGATGGCTGGCGTGGAGGGAGCCCAGGTGGGGCGGGCCGAGGGCAAGGAGATCACCGGCTCTATCCACCTGCGGATCGAGTACACGTACTCGCGTGTTTCTGAGGTTGCAGCATACTTTCTCAACGAGGAAGTGGATGTGTACGCGGTCAAGGGCGAGAAGAAGGCTGCCGAGTTCTCAATGTCGGTGCTGATCGGCAACATCACAGTGCTGTATGGCCTCCTCGAGCCGCTCATCAACTGGTACTACCGGCAGTGGGACTACTGGATGTGGAAGGACGCGTCGGCATCGTTCACCATGCTCCTGGTGTACTCGTTCATTTCGCTCAACAACTGGCTCATTCCGACGCTCATTCCGCTGTACCTCCTCGCGTACATGTCGTGGAACTACATCGAGGTCGGCGGCAAGCTGACATCGGCCGACGACGACGACTACACGTTTGCCGTGCAGGAGGGTGAGCAGCAGGTCGACATGGGCTTCCTCGGCATCTCGTACTACAAGTCGCAGATGCAGGTCATTCAGAACTCGATCGGCGACACCAACGTGTGGATCCAGGGCAACAAGGACCTGTTCAACTGGCGTTACCCTGCAACAACCAAGTACGTGTGGATCGGCGTGGCCATTCTCACCGTCCTGTGGTCCATTGTGCCGTTCCGCTTTGTCATGTTCACCATCACTCTCTACCTCTTTACCCGCTTTACCAAGTTCTACGTCTACTCGTGGCGCATCTACAAGGGCCTGTATAAGATCGTGGAGGAGCGTTACGGGCGCGAGGCCTCCGTCAAGCGCCGCGGCTTCGAGGCTTCGACGCCCAAGCCAGTCTCAAGCGCGAGCCCGGCCCCCAAGACCGTCTCGTCGCCAGTGGCGAGCCAGACCCGCCAGTCACCTGCCTCGAGCTCTGCTCGCAAGTCGAACAAGTCGCACAAGTCAAACAAGAGCGCGTCGCCGTCCAAACGCACCCGCAAGGCGCTTCCGCTAGCACCGACGGCGTCTTCCGCGTCATCGGCTGCAGTGACGCCAGCACCGAGCACTCCGGCAAGCTACGCGACGCCTGCGGCCGACTCGCCGGCGGCGTCGTCGTCGGCCATGGCCGACTCACCGTCGAGCTCGCGGCGACGCAAGGTGAAAAAGTCCAAGCACAAGCGCAAGCCGCGGACGCCCAAGGAGTAGAGTCTACCGTCCGCTTAAAAAAGAGGGACTGCAAGTGGTGAGGAGGAGGAGCTTTAGTGAATCAGGCCTCAGTTGTCGAGGCGGCGGCAGCGTCGGCAGTCGAAGCGGCGGCGGCGTCAGCGGAGGCGGCGGCGGCGGCGGCGGCGTCACCGTCCTTCGGCTCGGCCTTGCGGTCAATGTACGAGCCGACGGAGCGGCGGGTGAGGACCTCAACACCGTCCTCGGTAATGAGCATGGTGTGCTCAAACTGGGCAGAGCGCTTGCCGTCCTCGGTCACGCATGTCCAGCCGTCGGGCCAAATCTTGTCATGATAGGTGCCCTCGTTGATCATGGGCTCAATGGTAAAGACATGGCCAGGCTTCATGACGCCGACAGCACGGTTGTTCTTGTAGTGCGGGATAGACGGGTTGCCATGGAAGAGGCGACCGACGCCGTGGCCGCAGAAGGTGCGGATGACCGAGAAGCCGGCCTTGTGGGCGACCTTGGTGATGGCCTTGCCGAGGTCGCGGTAGCGGACACCCGGGCGGCACATGGCGATAGCGGCCTCGAGCGAGTCGTACGTGGTCTGGACGAGCTTGCGGCCAGCCTCGTCGACGTTACCGACGAGGAAGGTCTCGTTGAGGTCGGCGTGCAAGCCGTGCTTGTAGACCGAGACGTCGACGTTGATGATGTCGCCGTCCTTGAGCGTGTACCCGTCGGGAATACCGTGGCACACGCACTCGTTGACCGAAGTGCAGACAGACTTCGGGAAGCCCTTATAGTTGAGCGGCGACGGATACGCTCCACGCTCGATGCACGCCTCGTGGCAGACACGGTCGATGTCATCACAGGTCACGCCGACCTCAATGAACCGCCCGGCAACGTCAAGGACCTCGCGGCCGATGCGGCAGACCTCGCGCATGAGCTCGATGTCCTCAGGACTCATAATCGGAATCTGCGTCGACATGCCGAGCGCCTCCTCGGCCTTAGGAATCCCATCCAGCGCATGATCAGGCTTGGGAATGTGGTCGGGCACCGTCCGCCGCGGCTCGCGGGGGTACGGCCGCAGCTCACCGGTGAACTGGTAGTTGGGGAACGGCGAGTACTCATTTGCGTTGGCAGTCGAGACCGTCAGCACAGACTTGGCCGCAGACTTGGCCACTAAATGAGGTGGGGAAGGAGGTGAGGGAGAGTGGGTGGGGGGGGGGGGGGGGGGGGGGAAGAGAGAGAGAGAGAGAGAGAGAGAGAGAGAGAGGAAGGAGGAGGGAGGAGGAGGAGGA